CCACAAATCAGATTTTACTGTCACACCCTTGGTTGTGCCACGGTTCAAGGTGACGGCTCCACACGGCCCATCGTTTCCCCTCGGATAATCCCATCTATCCCATGACATCACGCAGGTGTCCGAACCGGTTTCCAACCACCCTATGACATCATTCGGATGCAATAGAAGAGGATCCGATTGATGAGATATGAGAATCCTGTTTCTATACGGGGTCTGGATTCCTTCTGGCAGATCAATGCAGCGCCACTGCGGAGTTGCTTCGGCTACCCTCGCTTATAGAGTGAGGGGAGGATGGCTGCCCGTTGTCTATATAGAATAGCTAGATGCTGGCTCTCTATTCCAGGAGCCAGCGATTCGTCTTTTATCTTTTGACAATAAGATACCAGAGTTACCACTGTCCTCATACAATATTCTTAGTGTGCCGAGTACCTCTGGTAGTTCAGTATTTGTATAGTATTCTACGAGTTCGCGGTTCAAGCGAGATAATCAAGCCCACCCATAAGGCTTCCCATTATATACCATCCTCCTCTGTGCCGCTGCCGAGTAGCAATCGCCTCGGCGCCGTCACATTACAATTCGAATCGCTCGACCTGGTTACACGTTTGAATCAGTCGAGCTCTATTGATCGATATGGCCCCACGCACCCGTGCTGGGACCGCACCCTCTGGGGGAGCCTCCACGTCGTCCCCTAGAGCGCGTACACCTCTACCCCGGCAGGAATCTGAGATTCCTGAACCCGCCGCTCACCTTGGCATGGGCCCTCCAGCCGCCCTGCCACCGCCGCGGCCCCTACACTCCTATGTCTACCATGGAGATAAAGGGATCAAGGTTGGAGATCCGCCGAATTACAAGGGCAAGACGCTGTCTGAATTCCACAGCTTCACGAGAGCCCTTGAACGGAAATTCCGCCTTAACCTGAGCCAGTTTAATACCCATGAGGTACGAGTCATATACGCCGCGAGCCTCCTCGAAGGCACCCCTGCAACTACATGGGCGACCAAGGAAAGGGAGCTTGAGCGTAGCAATGCTGCCATGACATGGGAAGAATTCAAGAACTTCCTTCTGGACCAGATTGAAGACCACCGTAACCGCGCCTTCACGGCGGCGCAGCGGTTCAACTCACTACGTCAACGAGACGACGAGAATCCTTCCGATTTCAATGCAAGATTCGAAGAATATTGGGAGGAACTGTTTGACGATTTGAAATTTATTGAAAACGCAGCTTTACCTCGCGAAGCTGACTCATAAGGTGCGGACGACGATATCGCAATATCAAAGTCCGCCCACCAATCGCACCGAGCTTGTCAACGCTGGCTTCTCGAATCTATTTGAATAATCAACACCATGAGAAGAAGG